TGTCTTCTTCTTCTTCTTCTTCTTCTGATGTCTGTCTGAACCTAAAAGGTGTGACCTGTTTGGCTTTGATATCCGGAGTTATTCGGCAGAAGCTTTTTGAGCTCTTATAATGAAGAATTTTATTTCGTATTATTCTTTGCACAGAGGATTATGTTCACCTACTTTGAGCTGTTCACATCCCCTACGCAATCATTACTTTGCTCTGCTAAATGCTCTTCAGCATTTAAATAAAAAAACGAAGAATTTGAAGGCTCATCCCGCGTTCATTCGATGTTCAGGCGCTTTCTTTGGAAATGGTAATCCTGCTCGTAGGCAGGAAGAATCAACAACTTTCGCAGCTCTGAAATACGTGACGAAGCCACGGTTTGCCCACTGGGTTTGCCCACCTTCCATTTTCAGCTGCTTCCTGATCATGCGGTTGATTCGCTACTAACTTTCTGCATATGTAGTTGTGAGAGTGAAGTGATGAGGCGAAAGAGCGGGCCACCACAAGCGAGAACTCGTCCGCCCACGCCCTTTCTTCCCCTTTTGCACGTATAAACGCGGTCAGCATGGGGCTCCAGGGGGGGGGGGGCGTCTTGGGCGAGTTTTTAGTGTTTTCCTCCTGACATTTCTGTTATTTACCATATTTTCTTTGGTATTGGAGTCGCATAAATCACCATTTTTAAGGATTGCCTTTAAACGCGCAACATTTGTTTGCTTCGCAACATTTCACAAGTCTTCACGGAAAGACTTCCCCTTTTGCCTGGAATTAACAAAATTCCCAATCAGCTCCACTTTAGCCCAACTGCGCTCGATCTGACTTTCACAGTATCAAGTTTATCTCTTCATAAAATCCTTGACATCACTTTTTTTACTTCAGTATTGTTTAAATTTGGAGTCATCAGTGATCGTTTCACGTAACTATCGCTTTCATCAAAAATCAAGCGCTTTTCTGGGTGGTGCTAGGTACCATTAGGCAGATTTCGAGAAACAGCTGTTTCTGCAGCGTTGGATACGGAAGTATCAAATCGCATCTGGTTTTCGCTCGCAATTACCAAAAAAAAGTGTTTACACTGTCTTGTTGTCTCGACAGATGACGCATTGGTTATCAGCCGTTCAAAGTGTGGGGTCGTTTCGAATCCACCATTAGTGAAGCAACTTCTCGAAACCATCTTTATATAATATGTCACCATTCTTAAAAATTAGCATATGAGGTGGCCAAGGCGATGAAAAGACCTTAGTAATAATAATAACTGATGGTCATTTAACCATTTTCTTTTTGTTGCATCGCACTGCTTTCATTTAAAATATTCTCCTAACATCATGAGTTTTCACTCGAGTAAATTTCTTCTTCACTAAAGCTATCACAAGAATGCTGAGTTATGGGCAAAAGTCGTGCCCCAGGCGGGAGTCGAACCCGCACCTCACGCTTTCCGGGCGAGTGCGCTATCCGTTACGCCACCAGGGCCGCTTTTACCCTCTCAGCTTAACGGCTTTTATGCCGTAGCCTACAGCACTCACACGTTTAACTTGGTGAGCCGGTCAGCCGTAATCGTTAGATATCGGCAATGGCGAGGCCAAAGGCTTCACAATTTTGGAAATGTTTTGTGATGATAACTGCTGTTTTACGCCGCAGTCCGCGTTCCGGACTTCACTCAAAGTTCGGTACTCGGAGG